ATGTAATAGAAAATGAAAATTAAACATTGTAATTTATACTGTTAATGAAAGAAGTTCTCCCCCACCCACCATATTCTCCAGATATGCCACCATAAGATTACCATCTTTTTTTCATTCGCTGCAACACCATCTTAATAGGAAAACGTATGCAAATATGGAAGGTGTTAAAGAGGACATTGACATGTTTTTTGCTTCAAAGCCAGTTTCTTTATTCAAGGCGTTAACAAACTGATTGTAAGAGGAAATGCATCATCGATAACAATGGAGACTATTTCATTTAATAAATGTTTTGTTTTGATATACAAGTTGTTTGGGGTTTTTCCTCTAAAAAAAACAAAATTACTTTCTTGACAACCTAATATAACCAGATTATTTGTTGTGAAAAATATACTATACAGTGAGGTGTTTCAATAATGCTACTTACCTCTGCACCACTAAGAGCTCTTATCTCACTTGCAACTTCTGTGGAATGTCCTACACATACCAAAAGCCTTGAACAAATCCCCACAATTACATGTTTATATGTGTACTTTGCCAATCTATGATTTAATTGCCATACTCCTGCTGTTATAGCCCTCCACCAATAGGAGGGTGGTGCAACCTCCATGTGCAGTAATCCCTGAGAGCATTAACCCATGATTATAAGCTCATTTCCTCTGTACTGAATACATATATAATCATCAGTGTTTACGACTAGGCACTTTCGACCTCTAAGAACAAGAACCAACTTTCACTCCTCATTGTAATTTTGATTTTTCTATAGTACTATGTGTCTTTATATTATATAGCATTGAACCAAAAAAAAATTATTATTGGATTCCAGTTTTACCATGAATTGTCATGTCAACATTGTTTCTACATCCAAATGCCTGTATTTTCATATTCAAGAATCTTCTATATCTGAATCAACAGGCCAAGGCCTTTATTTTCATATTCAAGAATCTTCTACATCTGAATCAACAGCAATTGGAGGCACATTATATGTTTTGATGATGTTATTACTGTTAAACTTTTCTTCATTTTTCCTCTACCCAACTCCTACACTATATCTCTACCCTGTTTGTACTCAAGTAAAAATATTTTTGTGCTACATACTTTGTTAAATTTCACAAATTTAGTTGTCTAAGAGAAAATTCAGGTAGTTTTTAAATATGTATTCTAGAACACAATAAACATATGCATTAGAATATAATGTCCCAAAAATATTGTAATTTATTCAGTTTTCTATATCTCAAGGCCATTTTTTTCCTATTCAGAACTCTTCTATGTTTGTATCAACCTTTTCCTTGTCTTCAGTACTTCTTTACTATGGCTTGTGGTCATGACCCTTCTATCTTTTTTTGAACCCTTAGTCTCTTGAGTCCCTTTTATTTGCCTGGGGTACTGCTCTTTCTTCTTTTTTGTCTCTTTCTTTCCAGTCAGTTTGTTTTCATTATCATGTGGTTGGTTCCTTTCTGCCAGGATTGGGAGTTACTAATCACAGAATCCTAGGCTGAGGCTGCTTGCTAGCAATCTTCCATTGTTTTCATGGTTTCCCAACACACTAAAATGTAGGTACCTCAGTCTGCCATTGATCCTCATGCTAACGTCTCTCCTGTTCCTCATCCAATTACTTATGTTCACTGTCCTCTCCTCCTACAAGGCTAGCCATCATTGCTCCTAGCAGCAACTTGTCTTTGGAGCAGATTCTGCAATCTGGGCCTGTAGGCACCTGCCTTTCCCAATTTGTAGTCTCCTTTCACCAGCAATCCTTCGATTATTCAAATTCTTTCTTGTGGTCTGTTCCTGCTCTTTCATACTCTATCTTCTCTCTTTCCTCATTTTCTCTAACCTTATCACTCTGGTCCTGTGTTTTCATCAATGTCTTCAGGATGTGGTGGCTTCTTTGTTGTCAGTAAAGCCATATAACCTGCATCCTGTCCTATTCAAGGCTCTTATTTCCAACTTTTTGTCATCCCCAAGATGGAAAATTAGTGCCCTGTCATCAGCTTGTAGTCTCTGAATCTCTTTCTTGTTATTCCTAAATTCTGGCTCAACATCTTTCTCAGTTTGTGTTAGGTTCTTTCTCTCCTGGACTGTGGATGACTGAGGTCAATGTTTCACCACCAGCACTTGATTTTCCTAATAACCTTTGCTCTCCTGTCACAATATTATGCCAAAAGAAAAACAATTGGATGCAGAGTATTCCTTGTTTGAGAAGGATGCATCCTCTCACCAGGTGCTGCTCAACACACACTGATTTCTGTTTTTTTTTCTGTCATCTAAAGAGGAAGTTCTACATAGTCTGTCTTTGCTCCCCACTATAAATACCTTTATCAGTATACTTAATGATAGAGCCCCCCCCCCCACACACACACACATACTCTGTAAACCTCTTGGTCATCTTGTTCCTCATTGCAAGTAGCTAAAACTTCAAATGTATATTTTAATAGTTTTTTTTCCATTGTGTGCAACTTGTTTGAATATTCAGAATCATACATAGACAAAAAAGTTATTAACTGACAAAAAAATTTCAGTGTCCCTTAATGGTCACTGGATAAATACTAGAAACCATTGGTGTTTTCCTAGCTAGCCACTAATTTTAGCTCTCTTAATATTTGGTACTTTTAAATACTATGCCTAGACTATTTATACAAAAGGGTGGTCCAGAGTGGTTAGGCCCACATTTCTACAGCAAAAAAAATACATGAGTATAGAGAATTTGTTACTTAGTTTATGAAACTTTAGAATAAGCAATAATTCTTTTGTACCGTTGATGAAAATTGAAATGGTATATCCCTTATTATTTTGATTTTTAAATAGTAATATATTTCTTTTGTTAATTAACTTATTATTATTATTAAGCATTGCATGTATTATTACAAGTAGGCTTCTATCTGTACGTCATAAAGTTAATATTTAACTCCGGATCTTTATGATGCCTGAAAAATATGCATTGGATAAATACATTCACTTAAAACCTAATGAAAACTGACAAGGCACAAAAAAATTAAAATTCTCATTCTAGCAGAATAACAACATTTTCTGTGCAAAGAAACTATTTAGAGTTTTGAAGTGCCAAGTTGAAGCACGCTTTGGTGCCTTATTGTGGTACAAAGCAAGAAATTATTATAAACTGTTTTATCAATTATACATAGAAGAGGTTGTTGGAAATCAGAACTTTTTATTCTACCATTAAAAAATTTGAAGTCCTTGAGCATCAGTCTAAGTTGTTAGTGTTATAATCACGTAAAAGTAAACCTTATATCTATTTTATCTTTATAAGATGTCACATAACATATTTAATAAGATTAATTAGTTGATTGTTGCAAATTGTATCATAATTATTCCTAATAATACCAACCATGTATGAAACTATATCTGCATATAGCTTTAAAATTTTTTTCCGTGATAAATGTATTGTAGTTTCTGTTTTTATTATCTGTTTCACTAATGACAAGGTTTTGATAGGAAATTACTTTATCTAATTTAGTTTTTATTCATATTTAAATTTTATAGCATTTCTCTTATGTATTAATCTCTCGGAACTAACTGCTAATTTATTTTTTTACAATTTAAGTGTCAGTGTTGTGTACAACATCATATTCTTTATGACTTAAACCATGCATTCAGTAATAATTGTTTTCATTAATTTCCCTGATGAACTGTACAGTTGTGATATGCAGGCATACTATGTATTTTCTACTTTTCTATTTCAATGTAGAATTTTTCAAAACTTTTCATTTATTTCTAGGTCTATATAATGTTCATGTACCATCTTTTCAAGAAAGTCATTAGTTAATTTTGTTCTAGCTACTTTTGTTCTTTTTTATTTCTGTGCAGATGACACCATGTCTGCCCATGGGAAGTATAGCTGTAAACTGCACCTTGTGCATGAAGCTTGACAGCAATATTCTCCAATGATAGGGGATATTTTCATATTACAACCTACATTATGTTTGAATGAAAATGGCAAGTCATGTGTTAGGTCCCTCTAGGTTGATACCTGTATGTGGTCAGAGAACCCTACTCCATCACGGACGTATGTTGCTGCACTACATACAGTGGGTGTGCAGACAGAGCTTTCCATGCCTCTGTCAGTTGAAAACTCAGTGTCTACTCCTGTCTCTGTCTCCACCATTGCTTCCAGTGACTACCCAGGTCCATCTTCTTTGGCCCCTAGATGCATAACAATTATTCTTTCACACCCTCAGTCACTGGAATCTACTTCTACTGACAGAGATCTGCCCACTCAACCCAGATCAGGATCCATGGAGGCCAACAGACCTTCTTATGGTAAAGAAAAATGACATGGTCATAAACAGAAGGGTTCTCTGCCCAGTTCTCATCCACCTATATAACAATGGCCACTTTGATACAGTGAAATAGTTGAGGATTTCTTTATAATTTGAATGACATTAAGGCTTTGATCAAATCCTATCATCCCGTGTGTCTCTCCTTACAGGATACATTCCTAAAACCTGCCTCTATTGTTGCCTTTCAGCCTTGGAGGCCGTCATACCATCACTGTTTATTCTCTCTACCTGCCTCCCAGAGAGACATATGGTCAAGCAGAACTTGTTGCTCTTATTGAACACTTGGGAAACTGTAATTGACACAATCCCCTTTGGTGTGGTGCTGATCTTGATGGGGGGGGGGGTCATTCTGTAGAGCTTATGCTCTCAGATCACAACCTTTCTCTCTTCAATTCTGGTTCATTTACTTATTTTCATGCACCTAGTCAGTCTTTTACTGCTATTGATTTATCTGTCTACCCCTTCCCTTTTATCTTGGTTTTCTTGGAGGGTTGATAGTGACCCACTGTGCAGTGATAATTTTTTTTATTGTTTTCAGGGAGATTAGCCATGGTCCATGCCACCCAACCTGAGTGCCACAGTGGAAGTTGGACCAGGCTGACTGACTCTATTTCACCTCTCTCTTGGAATTCAATCCTGTTGTCGTTAGTCTTCTATTTATTAATGACTGTGTGGAGGCAGTAACTGATTGCATCATTCAAGCAGCTGGTTGTTCTATACCCAAAACCTTGACACGTTTTCCATGGTATTCTTGTCCATAGTGGTCTCCAGCCTGCAAGCAGGCACAGAAGGCTCAGAAACAGGCCTTAGATACCTATAGCAGGTATCCCACTCTTTCTAACCACATTGGTTTCCAGCAGGCCTATTCCATGCTCAGCAGGTCGGACATCAAAGCCAAAAGGAATCTTGCATTAAGTTTACAACTAGCATCTCTTCTACCATCCATTCCAAATTCATATGGGACAAGATTTTGAGAGTCAGTTGGAGATATGCTTTCTATCCCCGTTCCATCTTGCTCTCCAATGGCCAGGAAGTTGCTGATGTACAGAGCATTGCTGATATTCTTTGCAAGAGCTTTTTTCATCTTTCTAGCACTTTTGATTGTTCCCCCACCTTCTTGACCATCAACTCTCAAGCAGAGCGATCACCTTTTTTCTTTCAGGCCAATCGCTTCTATGACTGTAATCGCCCCCTTACGCTGGTGGAATTCAAGCTTACTCTTCATTGGTCTGGCAGTACATCAGTTGGACCTGATGATGTTCACTATGAGATGCTGTGCCATCTCTCTTTTGCCTCTCTTGCTCTTCTTCTGGTTGTCTTTAACCTGTTACTTACCGTGGCCACTTTGTCCTATTGTGAGGGCAAAATCACATTTGTGAATTGAAAAAATGATAGAGAACTTATCTTTTGTTGGATTTCATATTTTGTTTTTGTAAATAGTAGCATAACATTCAATTATTTGTACAAAATTGTATTATTTAATGTAGTTTAAAGAGGAATTCAATGAAAAAATTCATAAAATACGTTTTAGACTGTAAATAAATGCCCTCTAAGAAGAATATTTTTTTAAGATATTTCCTTCCACTTCAACACTGGTCCTGCCATCTGTGATTGGTATCTAAACGTTTTTCTAGTCTTTTTTTTTATAAAACTGCATCTGTGCGTGTTAAACCTCAGTTGTAAAATTTTCAGCCAATCCTAGTCGAAGGTGTCAGTTTCAGTACCATGTTATTCCAATCGCTGTATCTCACATTTGACAAATCATAAGATGATAAGGAAAGCACATGACGAAACGTTGTTCTCAAGATTTTACAATATGAATGTGGATGGTGCTTATTATAGTAACTGCCATTTTATGTAGAGGTTGTATTTAGTATTGGCCAATAGTGCTTTTCTATAAGCGTTAGAAAAGTTGCTTCTGGAAAAAACTGCATGGGATGTACGTGACTTTTATTATTTTTATATAGTAGCTTAAGTCATGTTGCATCGTATATCTGTTTATATTAATTATTATATTGAAAAATTGACTCAAAATAGATATATTTTTTAGGAAAGAAGTTGATCCACGATTGTTAGGGTTAAGAGCTATTGAGTGGCGGGTGCAAAGTCTTTACATGAATTAGACTTAGGGCTTTGAACTGAAAGAGTGTGATTTTTTATATTCTTTTGAATTTAAGTTTTCTTACTATCATATCTACAGTAATGTTCAAATGCGTCCGCGCTGGGCTGAACGAGAATGACCCCCAACAGGGGTGAGATAGTTTACGAAAAATGTACAAAGTTCACGCTGCTGACCCTACGGTTTATTTGGCACAATAAACAAAAGTATGGCTGCAATGAAACATAAACATAAACTTGAAATAAAAATATATTTATGAAAGAAAATTAAAATGTTTTTATGTACATATATAAACATAAAATCTTAGTTAAAAACAAAAATACTCATTTATTGTTTAGGTTTATTTACAAATATTATTTTTGGGTCCTATATATTACTTGAAACCATAAGGAGAGTACGTGATTATTAAAAAATAGATAAAATTTGCATTTTATGGACAATACACATTTTTTTAGGATTGCAAAATAATGTACTAAAACATAAAAAGTAATCAGTTCAAATCTGGAACAAATATAAATATTGTAATCATTTCTTATAAATACCATTTCCTAATGTAATTTTCCAAGATATTAAAGATCATAATGCAAAAAAAATAAATATATCAAAAGTTACAGGCTTTATGTTTCTTAAACTATGTACATTTATGAAAGTTCTTGAGAAGTTTCAAAACTTTTTAACCAATAGTTTTATTGGTGAAATGACATATAGAAAGACTTGCATTGGCTACTAAGAAAGTTAGTAGCCGGTAGTCATTGGGTTAACTGAATTTATCCAGAGAATGTTTTTCTGATGCTTAATGCAAGGCTATTGCCCTACCTCTTTCTAGGCCTGGAAAGGATTCCAAGATTCCTTCTAATTATCATCCAATTGCTTTGACTAACTGTCTGTGTAAGGTCTTGGAGAGAATGATTAATGCTCATCTTGTTTGGTTTCTTGAATCAAACAACCTCCTCTTACCCACCCAGTGTGGGTTCCATCAATAGAACTCCACCATAGACCACCTGATTTGACTTGAAACCTTAATCAGGGAAGCCTTCCTCAAGAGAGTACATGTAATCTCTCTTTTAGTCAATCTTGAGAAGGCTTATGACACTATGTGGAGGTACAGCAGTTTGAGGGTTTTCCATTAAAATGGTTTGTGTGGCCATCTACCCATTTTTATTCATAACTTTTTACTAGACAAGTGATTCCAAGTCATACAGGAAATTGGAGACCCTCAGGGTTGTGTCTTGAGTATCACACTTTTTAGTATCAAGATCAATGCTATCATTAAACAGCTTCCTTTTACGGTTTAAACAGCCTCTATGTCAACAATTTCTACATCTCATGTCGGTTGTTGAATGTGAGGTTTATTGAGCAGCAGCTTCAAACTGCCCTCAATCACTTGTTAAAGTGGACCACAGAAAACAGTTTTACCTTTTTTTTCTCCAAAACTGTTTGCATTCACTTTTGACACCAACAGGATTTTCACCCTCATCCTGATCTCCGTCTTGGTCATGTTGTTCTTCCCATGGTTCCCGAGGCAAACTCCTTGGGACTTATCTTTGACTATAAGCTTACTTTCATTTCTCACATCAACCAGCTAAGTGTCAAGTGTACAAGGGCACTGAACATCCTCCATGTTCTCTCTTGCACCTTTAGGGGAGTGGATTGATGTTGTATGCTTAAGATTTATTATGCTCTCATTTGATCAAAACTGGACTATGGGTCTCTGGTCTATGGTTCTACCAGGGCCTCTGCCTTGAAGATGTTGGACCCCATTCACCATCTGGAACCCCGGCCTTGCACTGGGGCTTTCTGCACTTCTCCAGTCCAGAGTTTGTACACTGAATCTCATGAATCTCCTGTTAACTTCTGCCATTTGCAATTTATTTTGCAATATGCTACTAAACTTCAATCCTTACCAAAGCATCCTACCTGGGGTTGTTTATTCCTTCTCCAGTAGGCTGTGCTCTTTCAGAATAGACAGTTTGCAATTCCTTCTTTTGGCCTTCATATCCAGGTGCAACTGGCTGTATTGAGTCTAGCATTGGATGACGTTGCTCTCTCCAATGATCAACCCATTCTACTATGGCTTATTACTGTCCACAAGTTGTATCAAGAGCTTTGAATAATTGTCTCTTCTTCTTTTTTGTCAAAAAGTCCACACAGGTTTGTTCAATTGTTTTAGAATACAATTGACAAGAGAATTATTCTTCTCTACTCTATTGTTACAATACAAAATGCCACGATATGCTCTTTATGGCTACACTTACAAACACACAATCTAGCTCTAGCTATCTAACTAACCAACTGTGTATCTTTGTCCTACTTTCTATATAGCTAACTCAAACTACATTTTGTACACAAATTTATAAATAGCCTAAATGAGGCCTAGAACCTCCTACACACTACAAGATATTATGATGTAAAATGAGTCAAGTGTGACAGTTCTTAAACAGCAATAGATTACAGAACCAAAGCTACCAAGTCATTGTACTAAAAAGTAACTGGAAAAGGTGACCAATAAATTGTTCTGGGAAGCAGAGGTAATGTGTTGTTAACTACTAGAGTATGTGACTGTGTGTAATAAATAGCAGTATACATGAAATAAATATGTGTTTGGTCATACATTTGGATGAAGACAGAGGATTTGATGTGAAATTAAGACTTGCACACTGCCTGAGAGAAAACACAGTTCTTCCTCTAGTTTTTGGTGTGAGTAATGCAAGATATTTCAATTGAATTGATTTGAAGTGGGTGAAATTATCAGTAGTAAATGGAATTCATCACAGACGGTATCATGAACCATGATAATAAGGATTGCCCAGGAAGTTCACAAAAATTCTAAGAGAACGTATAGATAAAAACCATCTTAAGAAGCAGACTTGTTCTTGAAACAATAATGAAGACCTTCTGTCTCAATGGTTAAAACAACTAAATATTTGTCATAGCAAAATAGTTGATTTTGCAATTGTTAGACAAAATTTTTCCATTTCTACTGCATATTATTATTATTATAAATATTACTCTTGTTTCACAAGCCTACAACTATGAATATTGTATTCCAACCAGAGCAAACCTACTAAAAAAAAACTTCTGCACCAGTCATAGGATTATGTTTATGTTGATTCTTGAAATAGGAGGAGAGATTTCATCACTATTGGCTAAGTTTCTCTTCAAAGCCATTCAAGTACTGAAGCCTACAGCAAAAATGGCTAGTATACTGTGCCAAAATTTATGCACAGCTACTAAAACTCCTGTGAAGGTTGAAGGGCAATTTTGAAGTTAATTCTTGAAATTGAGATTTCCACCCTCTAAGTTTTCTAAGTTCTTTGTTACCAAAATAATCCCTTTGAAGCTATTCAAGCATCACAGAAATGTAGAAGCCATTTAATCACTTTTGTACTAGTCAAAAACACTTCGTTTTATTAGAGTAAATAATGTTTATAGTTATAAAAGTATTTTCGGCCTTATTATTATTGATTATAGTTTTACAAGTTGCTACAAAAAAAAATGGCTATGAATATTTTACTAAAACCTGGACAGTAGTAATGAATGCAGTATTGAGTATGTCACAGGGTAGTTTTAGAATTAATTCAAGCACCTTAATTTTTTTACCATGAAGAATTTCTCTAAGTCCTTCACTTTCTACCATCCAGTGTTTTACTTATGCGCATTAATTGGAAAATAGTTTGTGCAACTTCTAGCACATTATTTGTAAATTGCCGCATTGAAGATTCATCATTTCTCAAGTTTCTGTTCTTCATTGTTTCTTTAGTTTGCTGTTGTACCTTGTCTCAATGTACAACACAGTATAAACTGTTCCTTACCAAGTCAACATACAACACAGTAGGAACTGTTCCTTACCAAGTCAATGTACAAAACAATAGAAACTGTTCCTTACCAAGTGGATTTGTGCGATTGTTTTGGTGAGTTTTCTAACACTAAATGATTACCATAGTAAATTTCTCTACTATTGTGAGGGGTGATATATTATATTGATTTTCATAGTTCGTTGAAATTGTGAGTGCGTATTTTATTATTATTATTTTTTCATATTTTGTTTCACAAGACTACAACAAAATTGGCTGTGTATTTTGCACCAAAACCTAGAAATGCTGCGAATGTCCATGACCTGTTAAAAAAATTGATTATTTTTCACTCAAAGTTGATTTACATAGCTGTAAATACATAATATATATGCAATGTTCTTGTGAGTGACTTCCTTTATACTTTATGCTTGTTAAACTGTTTACACATAACCTCAGGCATTAAGCCACCTAGCTCAGTAAAAAATAGTGGGGTGGAAAAAAAGTCATTGCAGCAGTAAACTGTTGAAAAACATGTAGCGTTCAACTGAATGCATATGCACGTATATAGCTTAAAATTTATTCTCCATAAATGGACATAAAAAACTTAAGAAACAAGATAATTAAAGATTGTTAATTTAAAAAAGGGGGGAATAGGAATTGTCAAAAGAGTACAGAAACAAGTAGAATCAAAATACAAAGATTATATTTTCAAGCCTACAACTAGGAAATCTAAAAAAAAAAGTAAACAAATGAGACTGGAAATGGTGTATACATTACTTTCTCAAGGTACAAATCCCTATTTTGACTCCACTAAATTTGATAAGCACTGTAGACATGGAGTTCAAATAGAGGATTGTAGCTTGAGAAAATAATGTAGACACTATTTCCAAAAACTTTTTACTTTTTTTAGAGTCCCTAGTTGTAGGTTTGAAAATATAACCTTTGCATTTTGATTCAACTTGTTTCTGTACTTTTTTGTCAATCTTATTCATGTTCTTAAATTTACAATTTTTAATTATCTTGTCTGAGATATCATAAGAAGTATAAACTTGTTTTACCCAGTGTTTTATTTGGTTGTGATAGAATATTTGAAAAATGATATTCTTACTTCTCTGCACACATCTGTGTCTTTGAGATTTTGTACATGGCATTAGCCTTGAAATCTCTCTCTCCTAAGACATGTTATAACGTGAACTGTGCTAGGGCATGATGTAATAATCAAACAATAGCCGTCCAATAGGGAGCAACACATCCTCCATGTGCAGTAGGTCTCCATAAGCACTTGCACTTAAAATTAACTTCATTCTTATCCTTGGCACTGACATTAAATGTCATGTTTCTTTCAGTTTAAACTTAATCAGCCTTGTAAGATTTGTACTTCCTTTTCATTGTGTTAACTTGCTTTGGTTTCCTGTCAGTTTGTTTTGACTTTGATTTACAGCTACATTGCCACTAAATAACTCATTAAAAACTTGATCTACAACAATGAATTGCTACAACAACAATGAATTCTCAAGTGAAAGTGACTACTACCTACTCCCATAGTTCTGTTGTTGTTGCTGACACTGCCCCTACCTTGTCTGTGGCCACTGGAAGCACATTGACCATTCAAAGATGTTATTGCCATAGTTCATCATGTAGTGATTTTTTTATTCCCTCCTTGCCTTATCTTCCTGTCTGAAGTGTTCTCTTTCTGAACCTGACCATGAGGGTGACAACTTTGTTCAGTTTTTTCCAACTCCCTGGTTTGCACTAGATTCTTAACCTGTTGAGGACAGTGTTACTCCTCCAAATCTATTTGTAGATTTGATTTTTTCAGAGTTGTTCTTTACTTTCTTTTTCTCATATGTCTTGATTATTTCCATTTCTTAATATGACTCACACACTGAGAATTATTTGGTATTTATTCTTTCTTCAGGCATATATTTCCATCTTAACACATTCCTGCATCATCTTTGTACTACTCCAGGATTCTTTTGTCATGGCTTATGGCGATTCCCATTTTCTCTTCTTAGATTCTGAATCACTGGAGTCCCTTCTACCCACTTGAGAGGCTAACCTCTAACTCATCTTTGCCTTTTTTTTTAAACATTTCCTTGATTACTTATGTAATGGGATCTATGTTTGATCCTAATCCCATGGCCAGGATATTATCTTCTGTCTTGTTCCTGCTTTCTTGGTTCCTCTATTGTTGGAATCTTTTGAGACATGATTTCTTCTCTCTATCCTTCATATTTCCCATTCTTACTTCTGTGACCTGCATCTGGGTTCTTTTCTTCTTAATGTCTTGAAAACTTGGGTCAAGGCTGCCCAACACTAGATCTCCCTTTCCTCTTTGGTTGCTTTTCTCTCACAACCTCAACCTTGTGGATCTTTTCTTTTCTCATCCCTCTGCTGTTTCTCACCATCATCACTTCTGTCAGATTATCTGTCGTACATCCCATCTTTGAATCTATTCAGTTCAGGCCCTGTAGAGCTGACCATTGGACTGTTTTTGGTGAAACTTTATTCCATTCATGTTTTAATGTATGGTCTTTCTCTTTACTTCTTTTACTTCCCCTTCTGTCCTTTTTTCCTGTTTCTTTTCCTTCTCCTTCATATTCTCAGCTTTTTCTGCATCTTAAGGCCATGGTATTGGATATTTTTGACAGGAGAACCATCAAGAAAATCATATGCCCTTCTCCACAGTTTTATTCTCATCTTTTTGTTGTCCCCACAAAGATTGGAGACTGGAATCCTGTCATTGACCTTTCCTCTCTCAAGCATTATCGGGTGGTTCATAAGTTCAAGATAGAGGAGTATCTTTCTTCTACTCTGTTGATCATTCTTCCCCAGACCATGAATGACTAAGGTTGACATCTGAGATGCCTTTTCCATATTCCAATTGTCCCATACTCATGTCGTTTCCTACACAATGATCAGGTGTACCAGTTTCAAGCTCTCCCCTTTAGCATTGCTTCAACTCCATATGTCTTCAGGCCCGGCATGGCCAGGTGGTTAGGGCGCTCAACTCGTAATCTGTGGGTCGCAGGTTCGAATCCCTGTCACACCAAGCATGCTTGCCCTTTCAGCCGTGGGGGGCATTATAATGAGGCAGTCAATCCCACTATTCATTGGTAAAAGAGTAGCCCAAGAGTTGGTGTTGGGGGTAATGACTAGCTGCCTTCCCTCTAGTCTTACACTGCTAAATTAAGGACAGCTAGTGCTGATAGCCCTTGTGTAGCTTTGCACAAATTCAAAAAACAAACAAACTGTATGTCTTAACCGAGTCATGAGAGTGTTTCCTCACCACATCCAGTCTTGGACTTCATTCCCATTATTACATGGATGACTTGCTCCTCCTTGCCTCTTCTTAGGGGTCTCCTTCTTGGCCACATCACTTCTCTAAGATGTGGCTTTTCTGTGTTGGTTAGTGCAGTTTTTCAAGTTGTTCCTGACTCTGACTCAATATTTGGTTCATCTTGGCGTCTTTTTCAATTCTTGACTCAGTTGGGCTCAACTTTCCCCTGTTTGCCTGTGTTAAACAGAGCATTTAATTATCTTGCCTCTCCTATACTTCCTGTACAAGAGGTTCTATCTCTTTTGGAGACTCTTACATCTTTGAAACATCTTGTCCCTATAGGCTGGACTCACATGAGCCTTCTTCAATGGACTTAAGTTGACCAATTGAAAATCTCTCATAATTCTCGGTTCTCTCATGTGATGCTGTTCATGGCTAGATTGTGCCAACACTGTGGTTGGCATCCCATAGCTACCCCCTAGTCCAGATCTCCATCTCTTCATCAATATATCTCTTACAGGTTGAGGAGCATTTTTATACAACTCCACAGTCTTAGGAGTTTGGTCACCTATGGAGTGTACCTTCCACATCAATGTTCTAGAACTCTTAGCTTCCCATTGGGCATTTCCTATTTCATACCCTATTTTGTGTATCACTTGGTTATAATTCACTCTGACAATTCTGTGGGGATTTTCCATATTAATCATGATGGTGGGACTCACTTCAGGGACCTTTGCTTTCCACATGTTGGATATTGCGTTTGACTTATGATCTGTCTTCCAGGAGCTTTGAACATGTGATGGATCGAAGTTTTTTGACCAGAGAGGATTCTTACTATAGAATGATCACTCCATCCTCAGGTATTTTGTTGGATTTGTTCCCAGTTGGACACACCAATGATCATTGCCTTTGCTACGTCACTCAATACAAAACTCTCCCTCTTCTAGTCTCCAGTATCTCACCCAATGACTTTAGCTATGGATGTCTTCAGCCAGGACTGGTCTCATCTCTTTCTGTATGTGTATCCTCCTCTTTGTCTTCTCCCACATGTTTTGGCATGATTTGCAACACTCTGTTGGGTCCTGTTTTGGCTGGCTTTGTTTTTATTTTCTCTTCTTCACTGACTGGCATTCATGGCACCTCTTCCTCTGCCTCCATCTTGGCCACTCTTATCCCAGCTTCGTATATCTTTCTTTCACTCAGGAGTGTCATCCTTTTATCTTCATGCATAGGATTTGTCCTATCCTTTGCTTTCCAGTCAGGTTTCTCTGACTATGTTATTCTTTTATCATGTTCATATCATCTTTCTACTCTCTCTCTCTATCAACAAAAGTGGCATATTGCTCTCTACTACCAGGCTATTCTACTGTTGCCTACATTTTGGCCTTTTTTACCTGGTTTTTTATATAAGGATTGTCAGTTTCTACAATCTCAGGCTATTGGGTGACCTTGTTGACTATCTTTCACCATTTTGCTATGGTTCTGTCTTTTTCCTCCCATGTTCTTACCACTTTGTTCATGTCCTTCCCAATTCATTGTCAAGTTCCTTTGCCTGAATAAAACGTTAATGTGATTTTACATTCTCTCACTTAGGCTATCAGGCTGCCTTGTTGATTATCTACACATTTGGTTTGAATGTGATTGATTATGATAGAATGTCACTTAACACAAATTGTTTCTCTGTCATAGGGGTAATTACTTTTTTTTAACAATACAAGACCAAAATATAGTATCAGTGGATTATGTTTCTTAATAAACATATAAATGTACATGGTAGTATGATTATCTAAATTAAAGTGGAAATTTATTAAGACTGTAACACAGTGAACATAAAAGCCAATCTCATTCAAAGTTTTATTGAATTACTATTTCATGAATTTATATCAATAACTTTGGTATCAAACTGTAGGTTATAATTCAAATTTTAGTACTATATACATTACTCAATTCCTTAAACTAAAATTAAATATAAAAAAACAACAACAGATAAACATCGATTTTTGTGTGTCACGTGGTATGTTAAATGTAGCATTGGTTCAAATTAGATGTTTGTGAAGGCATAACACTAAGTCTATAATAGTTTTGTACAAACTAGGAACTCAAATTACTGATCTTGACAATATAAAATAAGAACCTCTTATCTTTTCTATTTGCTAAGATATTGCTCATGTAATAAATGAAACACAGTGGCACCCCACCCACCTCTTTCCATTTTTGGAAATGCTCCTTAATATACACTTACTTCTATATATGACATAAATAACCAATTGAAAGCTCATAATGTCCCCATAGTGGCTTTATTAGCCATTTTAAATTCTTAGGATGCCATCTATTTCTTTCAAACCAAGATTTCAAGGAGGTAGGTTGTGTCTTTAATCTGCTCAAATTTCATATTTTTTAAGACTGAAATACAGCTGTTACTAAGCTTGATAAATTATAGAGGAATTCTATGGTACTTATATAGTAATTTATGATTTTTTGGTTATTCGACTGTATATATATAAAACCTAAAAATATTATTTTGTTTCATATCCTCCACACGTGAAATTTTAAAAGGCTCAGCAGCCTACGTCAAGCATCAACTGAGTACAAAGGTCGTAACAAGAAGATATAATTGTTTGCTTTACTTCTTTACTTACTGTTCTATGTTTCAGAAAAATAAGCTTAAAAACATATTTCTAAATAGGAATAAACTATATACATATACAATGTACAGTAATTGAAATATGACTGTATTTTAAAAAGTAGTAGTCAGTTTTATGCTATTGGATACGGTAACATGAGTGCATGTGCACCGCATCATTGTAACTTCTGTATTGTTAGCCAGGCACGGCTGAAAGGTCAATATAATAAAAATAATAGATATATATAAAAGTATAATGTTACGAGATTTAAGCGATTTACTCTAAACATTTATGTTTTAGTGTTATAATTTGTTGTCATTCTGGAATAAAAAAGGCATAGTTTATATTTATTTCCTAATTTTTTATGGTGGTTACAAGATAGGTCAAATCTACTGAACCTGTACAGAGATTCATTACTGAAAATAACAGATAAAATATATAGTTTTTTTCTTAACAAACATTTGATAACTATCATGATAATCTGACATTATAAAGATTTCACATATGAAATTTAAAAATTTTCTAATGCATAAAAGTATTTTTAATCTTAAAATGAAAACTACTTTGCATGTTGGATAGACAACATGAAAAAAGAAAAAAAAAGGCATAAGAAAAACGTTGCTTTACAAACATTAAGACTTAATAAAAAAAAGTTGATATTTTGAGTATGAAAGCATTGTAATGTTTACTGATATTCTGCCAAATTTCATTAACATATACATGTACTTATTAATTTAAAAATTATAGCATGAAAACTATAACAAGCACAAAATGGTTATGAGGTCGGTCCCAGGGAACAAGCCTGTGCTGTAAGAGTTAAAGGCATTTAGGTTTACCTAAGACTGTTTTTTTGCACTGGACATTGAAGGTAAAGGGGTTAAGGATTCAAAATAAGCACAAAAATAAATTGTGATATTTTTTGAAATTTAAAGGTGAATGATACCTTAACATTTTCCTTACCTGAAAAATTATTTCTCAATAGATACCTCTTCACACAGAATAACTTGATCCCTTGTGCACCTGCTTATGAGACTTGCATGACACTAGCCTTAAACTAACTCCCATCTGTGAAAGTGCATGGTGACATCATCATGCAATGGTAGTTCTCCACCAATAGAAGGCAACATAACCTTCTTGCACAGTAACTTCCCCTGAGCACTTGCACTCGAAATAACTTCATTCTTAGATGAGGCAAGAAGAAAGTGCACTGGAAGTGGAGAAAAACAGGTGGGAAAGTGCATGGAGGTATCTAATACAAATACATTTTTAGGTTAGCAAAATGTTAACTTCCAAGACAATACCTCTCCTCCACATACAGAATAGCTAGAATCCCACACTGAAATAGTGGAGGGACTGGTACACATATTAAACCTAGATGAGCTCCCTACAGAAATTATCCAAAGGGTAAGCTCATGGATTGTGATACCAGATGGTACGGATTCCATGGGTACATCAATGGGAGACTGCATCTCATCTTGACAAGGATATACTCTTCATCCAGATGGAAGAGAGAGAAAGACAAAAAAATACAAGTGTCATATGGATGGGTGAAATTTTTTCATGACCAACATAGTACCTGCACACAAGTGTTCAGCAAGCCTAGTGTGGTTAGGGCTTGATCAGACCATACTGTGTGTGTGTGTGTGTGTGTGTGTGTGTGTATACCTCATCTTGATACAACTAGACAAGGATATTCCATGCTCCACTAGAAGAAGGGGGGAGAATTTGTATTGGGGAAACATGGAAAAGTGCCCAGATCTTCTTCAGATGCCTGCCAGAAAGGTCTTTTACTGGAAACAGTGCAATGGGTGACAGAAAAACCCTTTTTTAAAAAGCTGGTAAGTGCAAACCAAAGTGGGCAGTCACTTTCTTGGTGCCAGCTTTTCCCATGATAGCCCATAAAATGTTACAGTCTGGAACAGTAATTGAGTAAGGTTAATACCATGAGGATAAATATAGTGGTCTTGTGGAATACCCCATCTTGATAATGGGCACTGGTATAGCCAGGACAGAAGAGGTGAGTGCTTTCTGTTACCACTGGCTTGATGCAGATTTTGGGAAATATGCATAACCCCGGGGAGGCAACACCAGCTACTTGGCAGGATCCTATAACAAAGAAGAGGTGAATGAGAAAGAAAATGTATTTATGCTCCTCAAAGATGGTATGTAGTTTTATTGAAACAGACCAGATATATATACATACATATAATCATTTAATGCATCTACTTTTGCTTCCAATCAGTCATCCACAGTCGTAAATGGAAAAGCTTGTAGTAATAGCACCCAAAAAGCATTAGGGGTATCCGATCTAGCAAGTAAAATCCAAAACGCCAAAGTGAAACAAGTTCACCATCATGGAAAATCAAAAAAAGGGTGCATAGGTGAGTGCTTATACCCACAAGATCTCACCTCGTACTGCCTTTCACTGTCTGCAGCCAGATGTGGGAAGGCAGTTACCCTTAAAGTTATTTAAGTTTTGAAAGTAGAAACAGAACCACCCAACACTCCTACAGTATAAAACTCCCAACCGCCACTCTCATATAGGTCTTAAAAAAATGAAAAAGTAACTTACTTATAAATTGTGGAAACTTATTCAAGTATGACACGGGAAAGCTGAGGCAGGCCCAGCTACTTGAAGTTGGTCTTTCCAGTCCCGGTATACTGAAAAAAAACTAGTTTTATAACTAAGTTAGTTATTCAAGGTCACCCTTTATAAACTAATGACCTCTAAGTAAGGAGTTTTCTATAACTGAAAGTTTATCATTTAAAATAAATTTATATTTATTATAAAAAAAATGTAAAACATTTTTTAGTTGTATATCTCTATATCCATTATTTTTTAGTTTATTTATGAGTAAGGAAGGATTATCCATAAAAAGAGTTATTACTATTGCATAACATTAAAAAATATTTTCAATTGTGATATAATAATCCCTTTTAACAAAACATTAGGAATAACACTATGGGGAGTAGGTAAACCAAGGATGGGAAAATTAAATTTCCTTCTTTTAACAGTATTCGAAGAATTGGTAATAAATCTAAATTTTACAGGATTCTTATGTAGTTCAGGGATAGCATATAACAATGGTAAATTGTAGTAGTTTGTGTGTGTGTGTGTGTGTGTGTGTGTATGTGTGTGTGTATATATATATATATATATATATATATATATACACACACACA